AGAAGGAGACAGTGCTGAGTGTTCACGTATACACCTTTGAAGCAGTAGGTGTTTGCATCCCTGAGGATTCCGGCACTTATCAGGTGAGCTGTATCCATCACCCTCTTCTTGTCGATGCAGGTGGAATTTTCAAGCGGAACCTGTTAGTGCTATAAGATGTTGGTGAAGAGGGTGCCGATGTGTTCCTTGTTGGATTGTCCGCTTCGCGCCTTGTTTTTCACCGCACAGATGGTCAAGGCGAACTGGATTACGAGGTTGACCTGATGCTCGACTAGAACCTGTGCTCCATAGGAATCTGCAACCAAGTCACCACAGCCAAAATAAAGCATCATCAGCACGTTAAGAGGCACTTTGTTACCCGAGTCTCTGTTGAAAAGCATCTGGCTGTAGATCCTTGCGCAAATGCGCACAGCTGGATGTCGAATGAGAGACTGGCTGGCCGAGTTGGATTTGTACTGTCCTGAGGCGATGGTTTGCCAGAATTTTTTTGCGATGTTGAACTTCGGGAATGTGATCTCTGTGTCCTCCTCGTGAAACCTGTATGTCTTACAGAAATCCACCATCGACATGTTGTGTCTCCTTCTTCTGGCAAAGAGGAGAAAGTCGCTTCTGCAAACTTCGGCTTGGCGGGATTCGCGTATTCGAGCTTTGCTGATGCAAGGCACTGACGGAAAAAATCTGGATACAGTACGTCCGTCTCCAACGCAAACGTCATGAGTTTGGCTTTGAGCAGGATGCTGCTCACTTGCTCCAAGATACTGTCTGTGCACATCACTAAAGTTGGCTCCATCTCCACACTCAACATCTTGTTGTAGTAGAAAGCATCTGTCTGATCCTAGTGAGTGTCGAAATTCTCCGGTAAATCGGCATCAAGCAAGACAATCTGTTCGCCTTACGGTCTGAGCCATGGATACAGAGCAGGGTCGCGTTCATCGCTGTCGGCATTCTTATTCTTCTTGTTGCGCATGTACATGGTTTTGGGAGGCATGTTCTACAAAACCAACAAACACAAGAGAGAAATAAGCCATTAAACCTTTGCAAACAATCCCACACATTACTTGCATGTTACAATTTTTGAGCAAATTATATCAGATAAATATACTCTTGGAACTACAAATCACTTAAAGCACATGCAAATAATGAAATCTATAATCAGGCAAAGTAAAACTCCTTTTCAAAATCGATGCCGCTCCTGTAAAAGGGATTTTTCAAGATATACCTTGCTTGGGTGATGGAATTGAATACAGAATCAGATTAAGCACAAAAATCCGACCAGGTTGGACCCAAAAATCCGACCAGGTTGGACCCAAAAATCGTTTGATTTGGTGATGAATTGAAAAAAATGAGTTTTTGGGGATTTTTCTCGAAAGAGTTTCAATGGCGATGAAGAAGGAGGATGTCGAGTATGGAGAAGAAAGGTGAGGATGGTTTTTAAAGGGAAAATCGGTTAGGTTAAAGAGATTTTGGTTTAAATCTCTTTAAGAATTGCCAATTCGGTCCTTATTTTCCCTTTCATCCCTAAATCCCCGAAAAACTTACCTGGGCCGCGTGGAGCACCCTTGAAACTTACCTGGCTGAGCAGGTGTTCCAAATGGGATAGGATGCTCCCTCGTCGCTCTTCTCCATGGCGAGCACCCCGTGGAGCAGGTTCTCCAACACAAAGGGGGGTTGCTCCTTTGTTAATTTCACGATTCGAGCAGCTAACTCAGCAGGTGGAGCAGGTGCTCCTGCTGGTTGCTAAGAAATGAAAGATACAAAGTTAGAGACTCTTACCGGTGGGTTGTCTCCCACCAAAGGCTTGGTTTAAGTCACTAGCTTGACTTAGCTGGCCATTTAGGCTTGAGCAGCGTCGCTTAGGGTGAGTGATTCACCTTCTGCGATATTTTGACCAGCAAGGTATGGCTTCAACCTCTGGCTGTTGACTACAAACTCCCCTCCTCTAGTGTCCAGCAGCACTAAAGCTCCGTATGGTCGAACCTCATTGATGGTGAATGGTCCAGATCATCTTGATCTCAGCTTCCCAGGAAAAAGCTTTAGCCGAGAATTAAACAGCAACACTTGATCGTTTAGTGCAAAACTTCTGTTGAGTATCTTCTTGTCATGAAAAGCTTTGGTTCTCTCTTTTTAAATATTTGAGTTTTCATAAGCCAGGTGCCTAATTTCTTCCAGCTCGTGCAGCTGCATCATTCTTCTTTCATGAGCACTTTTGACATCGAAATTTAACAACTTCACTGTCCAGACAGCTTTGTACTCGAGTTCCAATGGGAGATGACATGCTTTCCCATACACAAAGTGAAATGGTGTAGTCCCCAAAAGTGTCTTGTAAGCTGTCCTATATGTCCAAATAGTATCATCAACCTTTACCGACCAATCCTTCATTGTGGTGCTCACAGTTTTCTGCAGAATATTTTTGATCTCCCTGTTGGAGATCTCTACTTGCCCACTTGTCTTAGGATGTTATGGAGCTGTCATCTTATGCTTTACACCATTCTTCTTCAGCATATTTTCGAAGACCTTGTAGATGAAGTGAGAACCTCCTTCGCTAATGACCACTCTCGGCACACCAAACCTTGAAAAGATGACAGATTTGAACATCTTAACCACCACTCTTGCATCATTCGTAGGGCTAGCTAATGCTTCGACCCACATAGACCCATAGAAAACTCCCACTAAGATGTACTCATTGCCATAAGAGGATGAGAATGGTCCCAAGAAATCGATCCCCCACACATCAAAATTTTTCACTTCCAGAATGAATTTCTGCGGCATCTCATTTCTCTTGCTTATGCTCCCTTTTTGCTGGCATGTGTCACACCTAGAGATAAATCTCTGTGCATCTCGGAACATAGTAGGCCACTAATACCCAGCCTGAAGAATCTTTGACACCGTTTTGAAAATGGCGGAGTGACCAGCATAAGGGGAACCATGGCAATGAAACAGGACTCCTGGTATTTCCTCATCAGCTACACATCTCCTGAAAATTCTATCAGAGAAATGCTTGTACAAGTGAGGCTCATCCCAAAAATAGTGCCTTATATCCTTGAGAAATTCCTTCTTCTTGTTTTTCACGAAATCCACAGGTTCCTGCTCTGCAGCAAGGTAGTTTACGATTTCCTCAAACCAAGGAAAATTGGGTTGTCGATTGATATCTACTGAGTTGCAAAAGTTTGTCGAAGCAGGTGCTACAGGTTAGAGCAGGTGCTCGCCGAACCCATAAACATCAATGGGGTAAACTTGTTCATCAGGGAGGCTGTCATCTAGAGGAATGTCATCATCAACCTTCAGTCTTGAAAGGTGGTCTGCAACACCGTTTTCGATCCCCTTTTTATCCTTAATCTCCAGGTCAAACTCTTGCAACAAGAGGATCCATCTAAGGAGCCTCGGTTTGGCATCCTTTTTCGTCAACAGATACTTCAGTGCAGCATAGTCTGTGTGGACAACTACCTTTGATCCCACAAAGTAGGATCTGAACTTCTCAAAAGCAAAAACCACTGCCTCTTTCTCATTTTTAGCATATCTACAATGAGCATCGTCGAGGGTTCAACTGGCATAGTAGATGACGTGGAGCTTCTTTTTTTTTTTCTGTCACAGAACTGCTCCCACGGCATAATCACTAGCATCCGTCATCACCTCGAAGGGCAGATCCCAATCTGGTGGCTTAATAATTGAAGCGCTGATCAAGACTCCTTTGATCGTATGGAATGCCTCCAAACATGCATCATCAAACTCAGACTTCACCTCCTTGCAGAGCAGCTGCGTCAGAGGTCTGACAATCTTCGAGAAATCCTTAATAAACCATCTGTAAAACCCAGCATGACCAAGAAAACTGTGGATCGCTTTGACTGTAGTTGGCGGCTGCAAACTCATCATAACCTCGATCTTTGCTTTGTCCTCTTTGATCCCCTTCTCTGAGATTTTATATCCCAGCACGATTCTGTCTCTCACCATGAAATGTCATTTCTCCCAGTTGAGCACCAGATGCTTCTCCTCAAACTGCTGCAAGACCCTGCACAAATTAGACAAACAGACAGAAAATGAGATTCCACAGACGGATAAATCGTCCATGAAAACTTCATTATGTCCTCAATCAGATTGGTAAAATGGACATCATGCAGCGTTGGAAAGTCGTCGGGGTATTGCACAAGCCAAATGACATTCTTCGGTAAACAAAAGTGCCATAAGGACATGTGAATGTCGTTTTTTCCTGGTCGTCTAGGTGGATTGGGATCTGAAAGAAACCTGAATAGGCATCTAAAAAGCAGTAGTAAGGATGGTTAACCAATCTTTCAAGCATCTGATCAATAAATGGCAAAGGGAAATGATCCTTGCAAGTTACAACATTTATTTTCCTGTAATCTATGCACATTAGATGCCCCATAACATTTCTAGTCGGTATCAATTCATTCCTATCATTTTTGATCACAGTGATGCCATCTGTCTTAGGAACTATATGAACCGGACTAACGTAATTACTATCTGAAATAACATAAATCACACCAGCCTCTAGAAGTTTCATCTTCTCCTTCTTAACATCATCTTTTAGAATTAGGTTTAACCTCCTCTGATGTTTTACAAAAGTCATAAAAATATCTTCTAGATGTGTTCTATGCATGCAAAGATCTGGAGAAAATCTCGGGAATGTCATCAAGGGAATACCCTAGAGCTTTTCTATACATTCTAAGTTCACAAAGAAGCAAGACATTCTTTACATTGTTCAATTCAGAGTTCACTATCACACGGTATGTCGAATTTGATCCTAGAAACGCGTACCTTAACCCTGCATGGAGGGATTAAAGTTCCAGTTTTGGAGCTCGCAGTTCGCTCCAAGGACTAAACCCCTTCGGCTTTTGTCAGTGCCACTTCCAACGGATCAATGGCTAACACCTCCTCAGATACCTCACCAGCAATGTCAAACCATCATTTATGACAAATGTCTGCCCATCCAGCATTGGCTTCTTGAGGAGCTTGTTCATCTCAAACCTCACCATCATATCTCCCAGCTAGACCAGCTGTGCATAAGAAGGGAGCCCATGGAAGAGGTGCTGCTTCACCAATGAGATCAACTGAGGTTTGATCTCAAAATCTTTCCTCTGAATCGCTGGAGGGGCAATCACAGCTCTGTTTTGGAAGAAAGAATGCAGATTGTCCTTATCTCCAATGGCTTGTTGTGACTGTTCCCTGTCTATGATAAATGTATGCCCATCCAATATTGGCTTCTTCATGAGCTTGTTCATCTCAAATCTCACCATCATATCTCCCACCACACCTCCTTTCACATCGATGATTCCACCAGGTGTGCATAAGAAGGATCGACCCAATATCAAAGGGTCCTTGGGTTCTTCATCAAGCTCCAGAACCACAAAATCTTCTGGGATTAGTGTATCCCCTATATGAACATGTAGATCCTCAAGCATACCAACAGGGAATTTGGTTGACCTATCAGCGAACATCAGCGAGGTCTTTGTCGGTTTGAACCTGGTATACCCCAGTCGCTTTTCTACATAATATGGCATCAAGTTTACACTTGAACCCAGATCGCAGAGTGAACGTGCGAAAATCATGTTGCCAATCTTCACTGATAAAATAAATCTCCCAGGATCACTCCTCTTATTCAGCACCTTATTCTGCAATACAGCACTGCACTCCTTCGAGACCATCATCACACTCTCTTCGCATCAATAGCTTTTCCAGACACTAGCCCTTTCATGTATCGCTTAAGAGCTCGTATCATCTGAACGACATCAACAAAGGGGAGTTTCACAGTGAAATCCCTCAGAATCTTCCTGCATTTTGCCTCCTCAAAGTCTTTGCGAAACTTCTTAGGTGTAACTAGGTAAGGCACCTTAGGTGTATAAACTCGTGCTGGAAGATTAGCTGGAGCCGTCGGCCGGAGCAGGTGCTCTGTCGAGGGTCTGGGGTGCTCCATCGTCTCTACTTCGTCATGAGCAGGTGCTCCGCGGTCTAGAGCAGGTGCGCCATATAAAGAGGCATGCTTTATCGTCTTTTTTACGCTAGACGCTGGTGCTCCTCCTTGGAGCAGCTGCTCCACGACTTTCTCTTTTCTCTTCTCTGATTCAGCGGCAGGTGGTGTTGCAGATTGCAGAGTTTTTCCACTCCTCAGCTCAATTACATTCACATACTCAGTCCTGGGATTCTCTCCTTCCCGGGGCCGGGAAGAGTTCCAGCTTGTCTCTTTATAGCTTAAGCAGTCTGAGCAACTTGGACATCCAGCTTCTTCACATAAGTCTAAACTGCTTCATACTTGCCATTCAGATCATTGTACATGGTGTCCACCTTGGCATTAATTTCCATGGATGCCTTTTGCTATTCACCAACAGCTGCTGCATCAAGTTTTTCAGCTCATCCTGCGAGCTGTTTGCAGAGCTCGAAGAAGGTTGCAGGTTTGTGAAGGGCAGTTTCTACTGATTCTCTCCTTGGAATCAGTTTTCGTTGGCGATGAACTGATTTCCTTGAAATCTGTTGGAGTAGTTTTTCAGAAATCCTGACTGATTCTGCACTCCTTGCTGCGGATAGACCTGATCCTGAGTGTTCTCAACATTGTTGCTTCTGTAAGATAGATTTGGGTGGCTCCTAAAATGGTTGAAGTTGCGATTCTGCACATAACCTTGCCCCTTCACAAAGTTGACTTCCATCGGATCATCATCCTCTCCTTCTGCGAAATAATCGGTTAATGGTTCTGGTTTTTTTGTTCCAATTTTTATGCCTTATTGAGTTACTATCTGTTTATACTCACTACATTGGGTGTAAATGGTTGTTATTAAATAAATTACATAAACAAATATAAACGAAATAGAATTCAACGGAATAAGAATGATAGAAAATTTTTGTTAACTTTCTGGTGTTCCACTCGTTGATAGTGAAATTTTTTGAACTATCATAATCAGTATTATCTACTCGTTGCTATTAACGATCATAAAGGAACAACTTTAAAATTGTATTAACAAGCTTACTTTCTTTTTCAGCAAAATCAGTGAAACTGTTTCACTATATTTCACTTCAAATGGTGAAATTTTAAAAGAATGTCAAATTCCACTATTAGTTATTTCTTTAAATATAACCATATGATTCCCTTTTTTTTCAAACTTGACATTTTTGAAATCAACCATAGACTACCTGAACTCGGTGGGGGAGGAGGGGGAACCCAAACACCAAAAATTGCTCTCAATTGCAGTAAATTATTCCATAAAAAACCAATATCTACAGAATACATGCAAATACATATATTTAACAAAGAGATACTAGAAATTTTATTCCACAACAAAAAATATAACATCCTGATTTTTGGTTTATGACAATTCGTATGTTTTTTAAGTTTCTAGATCTTTTCAGAATATTCTAGAGACTAAATATTTTATTTACTCTTGTTCTCATCTAAAAATGTTATATTTCCTTTTAGTTAATCTCAAATCTTATTTCTTTTTTTAGTTTTCCTTTCATCTCCTTTTGCATAAAATTTCCTTAATTAATAGTGCATTAACTTATATACTTTGTTAATTATAATTTGACACGTACTATTATCGAATTAAATATTGAAACGTGTCACATTCATGTTGAGTTATAATTCATTCATTGTATTACAAGTGAACCTTGTTAAGCCTTATATAACAAGATACGATACAATAACCACACAACTGAAGTAACAAATAAACACAACAAAAAAAACTAAACAAAAAAAAATACTAATATCTCCGACCATGAATATCTTATCTTTGCCTGTCTCTTCAGATTACATCCCAAATCTTTAGCAAAGATGCAATGCACCCGTAAATTTATGAAATCTCATATATCCGAAGATCTAGAATTCAAATCTGAATATCGTTTCCGGCTCAATTCCAGTCTGCTTCACATCTCCAGAGGTGGCTCCACGTTGGTGTGCTTCCACCCTTTGGGTGATTCTAGGCTATTCCTAAACAACGATGTCTTAGAGAGGTCGTGCCAGATCCTTGGTTACTGTTTCGGCCTTCTTCTACTCTTGATTGATGGATGTTTCTGTTTCACCAACCCTCTCACGAAAAAGTTTTGATTCCTGAATCACTCTGAGTGGAGAAGAGCAAAATGCACTGGGTTCACAGTTGATCAAATCGATCAAACCACTCAGGAATTCAAAATCGTATGCATAATCGCACACCACACTTCAAATCGAACAAAAATGTGTATCTATTTGAGATCTACACCGTAGATTCTTGGTGTCAAGAACCACAATCATGTGCCTCTCAAGTGACCTCATGACGGAAATGAAACTTGTTTACTTGGACAGCACACTTCACTGGTTGAGAAACGACAGAAGTATCATAGCTTTCAATCCCAGAATTGAGCAAGCACGGTATATCATTCCGAGAAAACCCCACCTGGAACCGGTCACAAAACTCTTGTTCGGTGTCGGCGATAACTGCCTGACATTGATATCGGCAACCATGGAGATGATTTACGTTTTTACTCTTGAAAGTATCCACACCAATCCTAAATGGATCCTCACAAGACAGATCAGGAATGAGGCGGTAAACGAAAGTATTATGTTGTCCTGGGACGTGAAGGCCTACGACGTCAAGTGTTTAGTGGTGAGGACAATGACTAATCTTACAGATCACCGAGTGGTTTATGGCTATGACTTGAAAGTGAATAAGTGGGGAATAGTGGGATCGATGCCAAGGATGTTTGATGGATTGCGAGACTTTTTTCTGTATCAGCATCGTGGTTTTCTGTTATCGGAGTAGAAGATCAGGATGGGTCTGTTGTGGGATTACTGAGTCAGGATGGGCTCTTCACAATAGTTAAATCTGACCGCGTCTCCTCCGTAGAGGGTATTATGAGACTCATTAATCGTAAGTCTAAATCCGTTTAAATTACCATGGGATATATACTTTGATATTTGCAAGTCTGTTTTTGGTCGTTTTAATTTTGATTATGCTTCATTTGTCTGATACCTAAAATCATTTTTTTTGTGCTAGAGAAGAAACTTTGTTCAAACGCTTTTTGCACTATTTACACAAGCAATTAAAGAACAAATGTAGAATTGAAATCAATTTAAATACAATTTCGATCAAACTCTTTTTACACTATATACACAAAGCAATGCTAGTACTTTAGAAAAGAAAAAAGGTCATTCCCTCACACAGATACACAAACCTATGATAGTGGAGAATCATCTCTGCTTTCATCGAATTAGACCTAACAGAGCCCTCAGAACAATTTTTTTGGTCGCATGAACACCCTTAATTAGCAGCTATCTTCAGCCCACCACGAGCTTTTTACAACCTGAAGAAGAACGAAAACCATCAAATATCAGTTGAAATATTCATGTTTCAGCATCTCAAGATCATTACTAGAAAATCAAAAATACCCTCCAAAAGCGTGTTCTGAGGTGAAGAATGTATAAAACATTTTCCCAGCATGCCATATATCCACTATCTTCCCTACCTTCCTCAGAGCACTAACTTTTGGACCAAAACTATAAGTAGACAAAGTGAATACTAGGGTCAGAAACACATGCTCAAAGAAAGAAACTAGGAGACAAGTATACCTTAGCTTTGGGATTTGACATGATGCATTTTGCTAAAAAGTGTGCAGCAGCATCCACCACATGTTCCTCATTCACAACAATGTAATAGTCGTTATCGATTACGCTTTTCTCTTCGACATTGCTAGGGATCATATCATCTGTGACCAAAACCCACCAACTTGGCTCTTCTTATTTTCTTCTTCTTCTTATGGAAGTAGGTTGCAATTTGTTCATTTACTTGTTCATTTATTTGCTAATTTATTTACATACCTTTGTTTATATACCATAGTCAATGCATATATAAGATTGCAATTTGTTCATTTACTTGTTTCCTTGTTTCTCGTTAATTAATAACGATTTTACGACGAATTAGCAGTTACGACGATCAATATACGATGAATTCGGATTCGTCGTTAAATCGTTGCAAACCCTCTTTCACAAGGATTTAACGATGATTATGGTCGTTGTTAAACAGGTGATTTCTTGTAGTGTTTGTTTATATAACATAGTCAATGCATATATAAGATTGCAATTTGTTCATTTACTTGCTAATTTATTTACATACCTTTGTTTATATAGTATTATCAATACATATATAAAGTTGCAATCTGTTCATTTACTTGCTAATTTATTTATATAGCTTTATTTACGTAATATAGTCAATGTAACGTTGCAATTTCATTTAGTTGCAAATTTATTTACATACTTTTATTTACATAGTATAGTTAATGCATTTTTTTTACTACAAACAATTTCATTGCTTTTTTAGAAAATAATTTATTATATAAACACATATATACGCCATATAGTGAAAAAAAAATACAACAAAAGAAGTGATTATGACAATGCTTTCTATACACAAGTCTTATTCGCTAACAGATCGAAATCTGATATTTACTTCTCTGTATTCAATCTGAATCTGATGTGATTCATGTGCGTAGGTAACATTTCTTTGCTAAACTTTTGAATTGTACACTATATAAAAAAGTCCGATGTTTCCAACAATAGATTTGGAATTTCGACAATCTGATACTAACACTTCCATATCAGAGTCATTTTGAAATATTTAGACTTTAGTTTTCTTTCATTTGAAATCAACTTATCACATCTTTTGGTAGTGAAGTCATCCTCAGCATATTGGTTCCATAGTGGTTTCCTTTGGAGTCATCGTTTCCACAACAAATCTGTACATCATACGATCACGATGACTACAGGAAACTATCCGAACTAACTGTAGAAGTTAGGATGGACAAAAACTAGTGAACAACACCAGACCACCAGTGGTATATTTGTAGGAATTTACACTTCAGTTAGGCAAATAATAATACATCCAAAGGTGACTTAACAATTAAAGTCACCACCGGACAAATGCAGATAATTTTTTTTTTAAATAACAATGAGGAAGACTTACGGTTACTGCCAAACTACAGCAAAGACATCTTTGTCAAAGGACCATGATTGATGACGAAAAGTTGCATATGCACTCAGCCATCTCTTTTAAATCCGTTAATTTCAGAAGATTTATAACCTAAAGAAAATAAAAGAAAGGGTGTGACCAATAAGGCATCATATATAAAGTTGCAATTTGCTGATTTAGTTGCTAAACCCAAAAAAAAAAAAAATTAAATGAAAACCAACCAATGGATATAAATTGTAAACCTTAGGCCCATTACTTGATTCTAGTACCAGTCATTAGGGATTTTTTTCAACCTTTCTATGCCGTCTCTCTTTTTATCACTCTACCGTTTTTTCTTCATCAATCGGATTCTTCTTATTTCCTGCCAATTTCAGGTAATTTTTTCTCTCTATTTGTTTTTATTGACTTCATATGATCTTATGTTAGATAAAATTACATACCATATTTCATACAATCTCTTTTATGTTATTCTGATGTTAAATTATACAATATTTTTTATCAGATTTGTTTTCATCATATTGATGTATATTTATGAATTCTTTATGAGCCATGGGCATTCCGATATTCAGTTTGGTTCCAGCTAGAAACAAATCAGTTCTGGATAATTTGGGTGGGGAGATTTATAATCTATATAGGTACCAAAATGTTTTCATGCTCAAAAAATCGTTAGGTGGGAGGCGGGCGGACGGGCTGAAAATCAGTGATTAATGATTAATCATTTTGATTAATTTACAATAGATTTACTTTTTTAATTATTTTTTTTAAATTATAATTATTTGTATACTAAATTTGATGAAACATACATATATTGAAATATAAGCATCATAGAACTTTTGGACCGATTTTTGGGCCAATTTTTAGGCCTTAGTATATTAAAAACAAAAAATATTAGGCCAATATAGAAATATTAAAAGTTTTGGGCTGATTTTTTAGGCCAATGCTGTGGGCTTTAAGAATATTAGACCGATTTTTTAGTAATCACCATTAAAACAAAAATAAATCGGATTTAGGAGGTCAGAAATAAGTTGACTGCCTAGCCTCTCCGCGTATGAATAATCGCGGCGGCTACCCTCTGCCTAGCGCCTAGGCAGCCACCTTAGCGGCTAGACGGACGATTTTTAGAACATAGGTTCTAGTTCGGTTTCTGGGCTAGTTAGATTTATCTTAATTGTTCATGTAATTATAGGCCTGGAACGGAGCAAGATATCTGGGTTTCAAAGTATCCGAATCTGGATACGTATCCGCCAATAATTTATTTTAATATCCGAATCCGGATCCAAAAACTACGGATATCTGGGTTCTGAAAAAAACTAGGATATTCACATATATCTGAATCCAATCCGGCATATTTCATTAAAAATGGAAAAATTCATTAATTCATCAAAATCATTAATTCAATGCTCTTGTTTTATCCACTTTTTCTTTTTGTTCTTCTTCTTCTACTCAAACAGTTGAATGTCCAGATACAAACTTTCTCGTGGAAATTCTGAGTTCTTATTTTACTGGCAATGAAGCTCTATCATGATCGGATCCACTTTCTTCATTCTCCAGCTTTCTCTCTAACGTTTAGGCGCTGCCAAATCTAAGTCTCTCTCATCACCAGATTTGTTTCCACCGACGTCGTAGACAATTTTTTGCCTTCCAGTTTCTCTTTCCATTCTGGCGGAGGTAAAACCGGTCGGGTGCCTGCAGTATCAGATGGCAAATATTGAGGATTATGGTGACTAGTGTAGCTAGATTCGTTTCCATCTTGTCGATAAGTTTATCAGAAGGAGAGATGAAGTGATATTGATGGACTATATTTTTTTTTTTCAAAAACCAGTGGGCTGTGATTTTTTTTCAAAACATTTTGGACTTTAACAATTAACCATATGCTTATTTATTATCCAACAGGCCTATATTAAATTCTTGATTTCACAAACGGATATCCGATATCTATTTTTAAAATCTTATATTATCTGAATCCATATCCGGATCCATCAGATACATTATTTTACTAGCTGGATGTGCATCTGAACCACCAGGATATCCGTTTTTAAATCGAATCGGAGCAGGTTCTGGATCGGATATCCGATCCCGGATACAGTACTATTATTTTAATCTATATCTGGACCCATCTGATACATTATTTTACTATCTGAATGTGTATCTAAACCACCTGGATGTCCGTTTTTGAATCGAATCAGAGTGGATTCTAGATCGGATATCGGATCCTGGATAATAATCCCAATACAAGGTATCTATTTACCTGAAATACCCAAAATGCTTAAATTATATCTGAAATGTCAATAATATATCAACAATCTGAAATTATATCTTACAACCCAAAAAATTAAAGAAAATATACCAAAAATATACTCAAATTCATTGTTAAAACTATAATAAATATATTCATGATACCATAAAATCCGTATTATATTTGATGTTTTTGGGTATATAATTTAATCCAGATAATTGATATACTCCATTGGGTATCAGTTTGGTTCCGGGTATACTCCAATACCTACAAATATTATTGAAGAGGAATCATCGAGTATTTTGGGTATAACTGAAAACCATACCGAATCGGTTAATATGGGATTATTCTGGTTTTTTTGTTCCAATTTTTATGCTTTGTTAAGTTTCAATCTGTTTATACGCACGTGTAAATAGTTGTTAATAAACAAATTACATAAACAGAGATAAACAAAATAAAATCAGCGGCTGAAGAATGATGGAGAAATTTTGTTAACTGACATATTATCTACTCGTTGCTCTTAACGATCATAGAAGAGAAACTTTAAAATTTTGTTAACAAG